GACACATCTGGCGATTGGCGCGACTGACGTGCGGCCGGTTTACGGCGTGACGATCGGGACGTGTTATACGTGTCGACCTCATCGGCGTCCGAATCGTCTGACGCCCGCGTGATTGATGTCTTATTCCTTTTGGGCGCCGGTTTTGAACGCGAGCTATGCGTCCGCTTTTTGGGCGTCGGCTTCTTGCGGCCCCTCTTCGGCGCCGCCTCGTAGTCAGACTCGTCGTCGCTCTCGTCCTTACGGTTTGGCTTAAAGTCGGAACCGCTTTCGTCATCCGAGTCGAAAGCGCCGTCCAATTGGGGAATACGTGCGACCTTTTCGTATTCGCATTTCTCACAATCGCATTCGCATTGATCCGACTGACGGTCGCAGCACTGGTCACAACACTCGTCCGAATCGCAATCGCACACCACTTCTTCGGCCGGCAGCTGCTGTTCCGTGTCGTCAAACAGTCCATCCATCGCATCGTCCATCATATCTTCGTCGCCCGTCTCTGTCTGAGTGCAGGCGTCGGTAAAGACAACATTCCGGTCATATTCTGTGTCCTCTAATTCAGTGCTCACGTCTGAACTCTGGCCGTCGTTATTGTCAGCACTACTGCCGGAACTAAGAAGAATGAGTCGCCTTCTGGACGCACCGCCTTTGGACGCTGTCTTTCGCTTCTGTTTTCTACACTTTGACTGTTTCGCCGATTCTTTGACAACACTTTCAATGGTTTGACTAATTATCTCGTTCTGAGAGTTACGTATGACGTCTTCAATGGTATGATTGATGGCAAGTGTCTGTGAATTGTTGATGACTTCATCGATGGTGTCATTGATTTGGTTTAATGAGTCTTCAGTATTATTATCAATGCAATTGACGATCATTTCTGCGAATTGTGTTTCGCCAATAGAGTCACAGTTATCATCGGTTTTGATGTCCAATTTGGCCAAACCGTCGAACAGCTTCTGCAAGAGTTTGGTCTCACGTTCGGTGACAGTAACCCCTGTCCTCTCCTGAGAGGGCAATCCCTTTAGGGTTTGGGCTTCTGTGGAGTCTTTGCAGCGATTCAACGCTTCCCTCCAAATGGACTCCAAACCAGGGATGCGTTGATTGTTATCCAACACCACGTCTTTGTTCATAATGTCATTCAAATCAATATCACATTCTAATTGACACGAACTCATGGGCTCTATGTCTGAATAGTTGACACAATCGGGCATTGAATCTGTTTGCCTATAGACTACACGTTTGGCGTCCAAAAAGTTCATACCATATAAGTTATGGTCGATGAAGAACTAGGGATCAAATAATAAACATAAATACAATTGTTATTTAAATCAAATGTAATTATAATTACCTGAAGTGTGTACGGAATGTGTGCCTCAAACGGTTGGATCTGTCGGCCCATAACATCGCCGGAGAGTAAGTGTTCACTCGCTCTGCAAAAGTGGAATAAGACATGCGTTACAATC